GACCAAACTGTGCAGCTCTGCAACTGCATCCTGGCCCATCCTCACCCTTCTGCCCCCAACCCTCACCTCCTTGTACCCCCAATATATTTTTCCCAATTAAAAAAATATAAAAAAAAAGAACTGGTGTTGGGATTAAGATTATAAATAGAGTGAGAATTTATATGAGAGTGAGTGAAAGTGGCATTAAATTTCCAAATGAAGTAGCATCTGGTGTTAGAATTAGGAGTAGAATTAAATTGAGATAAAGTTTACAGTTGGAGTAAAGTTTAAGTCTGAAGGGTGAAACTGAGGTTGAAGTAGAGCTGGGTTTAAATACATATGAAAGTGTAGTAAGACTTGTAGTAAGACTTGGTTTAAAGCTTGGATTGGGAATTTTATTTTAGTTGGGATTAGAATTTAGATCAAGGTTGATTAGGACTGAAATTGAGTTGAGCAGGGTTTGAATTTTTATTCATTTTCAACTAAAGTTATTCCTAACTTCTGTGGCCTGTTTCAACCTCTGAGAGATGGTAGTGTTGGCCTGGATAAGATCCCTGGTTTTGGAGGAAACCAAACAGTCTGAATTAAAATTGTGGCACTATCACTTGTAGATGACCCTGGCCAAATTATGTAATCATTCTGTGCCTCAATTTCCCTATTTCTATAATGAATAAAGAGGTATTTGTCTCTTAAAGTTGTTGTAAAGATTAAATTAATTAAAGCACTTAGTAGCCTGGCACATCTGCATTTTGTAAATGACGAAGTTAAGTAAAAAAGTTAAGTTTGTAGGCAATCTGACTATAGAATTCTTAACATTTACCACAATTAGAAAAACAAATGTTCTTTCAGTATTAAAAATGGGTCCATGTTCTTTCTGGAAAAGCTACTCAACTTACTAACAGTATTGAGACCTAAGTGTTGAAGTTGAGGTTAGGTGATTTAGAGTTTATAGAGCCATTTCCAGATTGGAGTTTTCTCTACGGTTGAGTAGAGCTTGCATTACTGTTAGGGTTAAACTTTGGAGTTGGAGTTAGGAAGGGTGGTAGGATAGGGATCAGGAACAGGATTGAGGTTGGGCTTCATCTAGAATTACAGTTGTATATGTGGTCAGGAAGCCATGAAGGGCGGTATCTGAGATAGTCAAAGTATTGGGAGCCAAGTGGGGGTGGGGTTGTGTTTGGAGCTGACTAGGATGGGAACAGGGTGATGTAATTCTGGTTTCCCACTGGGTCTCTAGGATTAGGGGTCCCTTAAGTGATGGATAGGGAAAGGGGTTAAGGGTGGAGTAAAACCCAGGTTTATTCAAAGGGTCTTCAGAGGGTGGAAAGCTTCTCTCACCTTTCTTGCCTTCCGATTCCGACATCCTCCATTCGAGATTGAAGAGCCATCTGCATACAGCCCCCCTTCTCTTCTCCCAGCTTTGCAGAGATTAAGGTCAGAAGGTGGGGCAATAACAGGGCGGATGAGAGGGTAAGCAGGAGTGCAAATGGGACATTTGTGGGTCACAGCCTAGCAACAGAAAACCACTGATTAAATTATTTTTAACTAAATATATGGCAACAGCAAACAGCCAGAAAATAAGAAAAAATGTAATTTTCAACATTATTAAATATCTGAGGTTGTTGTTAGGTTCTGCTGAGTCTATTGCAACTCACACAAACCCTAGGAACAATAGATTTGAACCCAGTCCTATCTTGCACTATCCTCACAAACTCTACCATGCTGAAATCTATTGTTGTAATCACTGGTTTAATCCATGTCATTGATAGCCTCAGAAAGTCTTTAAAAAATCCCATGTTTCTTTTCCTCTTACTAAATTTGGATTATTCACATTTCAGGTGCTCAATTTTCTTGTGTAGTTAGTGATAATATAGACTTAGAGTAGCAGGCTAATGTGGAATCTTTTTTGAAAAAATATTTATTCATGTATTTATGTTGTTGAGAATATAGAAAGCAAAAAACACACCAATTTAACAGTTTCTACATGTACAATTCAACAGCATTAATGGCATTGTTTGAGTTGTACAGCCAATTTTACCTAATTTTCTAGTTGTTCCTCCCCATTGACATAAACTTCCTAAATTGACAGAACCTTATGAAGTTCCCATCTAATCTTTTGAGTTAGTGCTGTCTATTTGATACCATATAGATAAATAATGAGTATCTCAAAATAAATATATAAATTAATCTCAAAACCAAATTCCAAAACCCACTGCCATGGAATCAATTCTTACTCATACAACTGTATAGGTCAGAGAAGAACAGCTCAGAGTTTCAAAGGCTGTAAATCTTTACAGTCCAAACAGTGTTGAGTTGTACCTAAGCAGTGTCAGTAGCTAATCTTTACACCCCCCCTTCATTGTTTTATGTATATGCATCACACAGTTTTCATTAGTTCAACTTTCTACATGTGCATAAATTACTAATGGCAATTGTAACAATCACCTGTGCAACCATATCCTTTCTCCCTCCATACTGCACCTGGTAATCACTGATAAACTTTGGTTCCTAAACATTTGTCTTTTTTTGTTGTTGTTCTTTTCATGTGAATGGTCAAGCAATATTTGTCCTTTTGTGATTTAATTATTTCACTGAGCATAATGTCTCCAGGCTTCATTTATACTGTAGCATGTATCAAGACTTCATTTGGCTTGTTAGTCAAGTATGTTGTAGGCATCCTGCTTGTTTCTACCTTTTGGCCACTGTGAATAGAGCTGCAATGAACATTGGTCTACAAGTGTCTGCTCTAAAATATTTTAGGCATATATCTAGAAGTGAGGTCTTGTTGTTGTATATGTGCCATTGAGTTGCCTGCAACTTATGGTAGTTATATTTTCACTCTTTTAAGGAACTACTATTTGTTTTCCATTATGGTTTATACCATTTTTTTTTCTCCCTAGTAATCGATACAGCTTCCATTTCACCATGCCCTTGCCAACAATTGTAAGTTTTTTAAAAATGGTATAATTTTGCATCTCTCTGATGGCACAGGATGGGACAGGGTGTGTTGTTAAAACAGACCTGTTGTTCATAGGGTCATTATGAGTTGTACTCGACAGCACCTAACAACAACAGCAGCAACAAAAACTAATGGCTATGATGTTGAGAATCTTCTCATGTATCTGTTGATCATTCAAGTTCTTTACCCACACCTCTAATCAGGAGAGAACAAAATAGGTAAATGGGACCTTCTAAGAATTAAATGCACATCAAAAAACTTCTCCAACAGGGCAAAAAGGAAACCCACAGAATGGGGAAAAAATATTTGGTAATGATGTGGCTGACACAGAAAAAAAAACCGGGCTGCTCCTTGGAAGCAAGGATTCTGAGACTTTGACATACTTTGGTCTTGTTGTAAGGAAGGACCGATCCTTGGAGAGGGACATCATGCTTGGGAGGGTGGAGGGCAGGCACAGGAGGGGAAGGCCCTCTGGGAGGTGGATTGATTCGGTGACTAGGGCAATAGGGATGAGTGTGTCAGAGATAATGAGATTGGCACAGGACAGAGCAGAGTTTAGAGCTGTTGTACATAGGGTTGCTATGAGTCGCAAGCGACTTGATGGTACATAACAACAACAACAACATGAGCAAGAGCCTGTCATGATGAAGGAAGAAGTTCAAGCTTCTCTTAAAGAACTGGCAAAAAATCAAGGCTCCAGGAATTGACAGCATACCAATTGTCATATTTCAACAAATAGACGCTGCTTTGGCTGTGCTCACTAAGTTGTGCCAAGAAATCTGGAGGACAACCACCTGGCCAACTGACTGGAAGAGATCTACATTTGTTGCCATTCCAAAGAAAGGTGACTCAATAGAGTGCAGAAATTATTAAACAATATAATTAATATCACATGCAAGCAAGATTCTCCTGAAAATGATCCAAAAACGACTGGAGCAGCACATCAACAGAGAACTGCCAGATGTGCAACCTGGGTTTAGAAGAGGTCATGGTATTAGGGATAGTATAGCTAATGTTAGATAGATCTTGGCTGAAAGCAAAGAGTACCAGAGAAATGTCTATCTGTGTTTCATTGACTATGCAAAGGCATTTGACTGTGTGGATCACAACAAACTGTGGTTGACTCTGAGAAGAATGGGAATTCCAGGACATTTGATTGTGCATGCAAAACCTATACTTGGACCAGGAGGCAGTCATCAGAACAGAGCAAGGAGACAACTGCATGGTTCAAAATTGGGAAGGGTGTATACTAGGGACGTGTTCTGTCTCCATTCCTTTTTAATCTATATGCAGAACAGATCTTCTGGGAAGCTGGACTGTGTGAGGAGAAATGTGGCATCAGGGTTGGAGGAAGATTCATCAACAATCTGCATTTTGCAGATGACACAACCCTGCTTGCTGAAACGGAGGAGGACCTGAAGTGCTTGTTGCAGAAGATCAAGGACTGCAGCCTTCAATATGGATTGAAGCTCAACATCAAGAAAACAAAGATTCTCACCACTGGGCCAATTAGCAGCATCAAGATGGATGGTGAAGAGACTGAGATTGTTAACAGCTTTAGTTTGCTTGGCTCACAATCAACAATCTTGGTACCGGCAGCCAGGAAATCAAGAGATGAATTTCATTGGGGAAGTTGGCTGTCAGGCATCTCTCTGGAGAACTGATGAGCAATGACGTCAGTCTGGAGATTAAGGTGCTCCTGATCCAGGTCACAGTCTTTGCTATTGCTTGCTATGCGTCAGAGAGCTGGACAATGACTTGGGGTGATAGAGAATTTGTGCCTTTGAGCTGTGATGGTATAGAACTGCCAGGAGAACAAACAGGTTTGTCCTAGCAAGGGTGAAGACAGCCTGCTTCTTGGAGGTAAGGATTCTGAGGCTTCATCTGACATACTTTGGGCATGTTGGAAGGAGGTCTTTGGAGAGGGACATCATGCTTGAAAGGGTGGAGGGACAGAAAAAGAGAGGGAGACCATTGATGAGATGGATTGATACAGTGATGGGGTAATGAGGGTAGGTGTGTTAGAGACAGTAAAGTTGACAGATTTCAAGGCTGTTGTACATAGAGTCGCTTTGAATCACAAGTGACTTGACAGCACATAACAACAACAAATACAGTGATATATCCGATAAAGGATTAATATTTTAAATGTATAGAATACTTTAGCACCTTAACAAGAAAAAGGTAAACAACCCATTTGCAAAATGGACAAAGGATATGAATAGACACTTCACCAAAAAAAGACATTCAGATTGTGAACACACACATGAAGAAGTGTTCAAAATCCCTATTTATCAAAGAGATGAAAAGAAAAACAACTATGAGATACCATTTCACTCCAGCACAATAACAAAATCCAACAGAGCAGCAAACAACAAATGCTGGTAAGGTTGTGGAGAGATTGGAACCCTTATTCACTGCTGGTGGAAGTGTAAAATGGTGCAACCACTATGGAAGACTTTCTCAAAAATTTGGAAATAGAAACACCATTTGACCCAGCAATTCCACTACTAGGAAAATACCCTAAAGAAACCAGAGCTGCCACCCAAACAGATATATGCACAATCATGTTATTCCTGCATTATTCACAATAGAAAAGAGATAGGAGCATCCCAAGTGCCCATCAACAAACGAATGGATAGGAAAATTATGGTATATTCACACAATGGAATATTATGCAACCCTGAAAAACAAGGAACTCATAAAATATTACATAACATGGATGCACACCTATGTTTATTGCTGTATTGTTCACAATAACAAAGAGATGAAAACAACAAAAATGCCCATCAACAAATGAATGGATAAAGAAACTGGAATTCACAAAATGGAATATTATGGAGCACTGAAAAACAAGGGACTCATACACTATTATACAAAATGGGTGACCTTGGAGGACATTATACTGAGTGAAATAGTTCAGTTACAAAAGGATAAATACTGCATAATGCCACTATTATAGAACAGGATTGACATGGGGGTTGGGGAGAAACTAAGAAAAGAGGGGATAAATAATATAAACTGCATTGAAACAGATGAGGGAAAGAACTTTTTAAAAGGAATATATGATTAAGTATTATTTGCATGACAACAGTCCAGAAAAGAGCTGCATATCAAAGCCAACTGGAGGTGGGGGGAGGGGAGGACATTGTGCAACGATGAATTTTTTTAAAAAAGTGAACAGGGAGGTATGGAGGAAAATGTGCAACAATGAATGAATGAATAGAAATTCAAGTTCTCTATAAACGTTCGTTAAAAATCTCAATTAAAAGAAAAAAAATTACACAACATGGGTGACTCTGGAGGATATTATACTGAGTGAAATATCTTAGCCACACAAGGACACTGACATGGGGGTTGATGGAAAACTAAGAAAAGAGGGGATAAATAATGAACACTGCTTT